ATTTGGGAAAACCCTTTGCCTCTCTCCTCCTCCTCCTCCTCCTCCTCCTCCAGCCTTCACATCCGGGTCAGTTGGGTTGGTTGGAGCTAGATGATGCCTTCAAATACCCCTCGTAAACGTGTAAACTATAAAGTTTGGAAGTTGTGAACAGATTTCCTTGATGCAATAAGTGTTATTTTAGAAATGAACGTAGATGCATGATGTTGGAAAAGTCACAAATTAATGTAAATTAGTGTTGGTTAATTTATTTGTTGAATGTGTACAGGTGGCATGCTATAGGATAGGTTCAAGGGAACTTTGAAGTACATTAAGGTCCGTCTTTAAATGAGAATTATTGCTTAATAGTAATTTAAAAGTCTTAACCCTCATATTACCTTCAACTTTACTGACATCTTATCTTTGGGTTCAGTTTGACCCCAGCAATGCAAACCTCCATCCAGAAAATCCCAGAATATATATTGTTACCCAAGTTTATGTGTAAATATTTTAAATAAAACTGGAAAAAAAATGCCAATGACTTATTTAGAGATATTAAACACTGAATGTACTCAGGTGTAATCTACCACAGGTATTTCTCAGGTACCTCCGTTCCTCACTGCTATTGTAAATACTCTGAATTTTATATCCATTTTATACTTATTGCCACTTATTTATTTTTTATATCCACCGTTAGGCTCTACAAATGTCTTTTTTTTCTCTATCTTGCACAGTTTGTTAATTTGTAGTTGTTCTTTACACTGAATGGGATTGCACCCAATTTCATTGCACTTTTTTGGGGGTATAATGACATTAAAGGTTTCTGATTCTGATTCTGACCCCAAAGATAACAGGAGGGTTAATTTGTGTTTTTTATAGATTACAAGTTGAGCATTTTTCTTCGGTAAGTGGTAAAAAAGTTGTTAATTGCCTCTCTTTTTAACGTTTTATGATATTTGTTGATGTTTTATTGTTGTTTTTTGCTGTAAAAGAACTCCACTTTTGAAAGGGGGCATCCAAATAAAGTTTATTGTTATGATCATTAAGTTGCGTACCGACATGCAAAGACAGCTAAAAGTCCCAAAAAAAACATATTAGTGCAATTTTTTCAATGAGCGTTTCCTCACAACGTCGTAGTTCTGTTCTGAAGTTGTGTTCACTTGCAGCTCTGCGATTTCCCATGATGGAGGCGGCCCGTGAAGGCGTCACAAGTTGGGCAGCTCTCAGTTGTTGCAAAGGCAGACTGATGATCCAGCTGCTGAGTGTTCGCTGACATGGATACTACTGGCGTTTCCCCCTGAAACTGGACCCATCACGGCGGCGCGGACTCTCCGGTGGGGCTTCAACCAGCGACCAAACTTCTTCCACGGCCGCACTCATGTGATCTATCTCCCCCCCCCCACTCTCCCCTCTCCTCCCCTCCACCTACTGTTTTGGAGCCATGTCCAAGAGCCTGAAGAAGAGGAAGAACCACTGGACCAACAAAGTCCACGAGAGTGTCCTTTGCAGGAGCGCGGAGGGGGAGCTGGGGCTGGAGCTGAAGGGCGGCGCGGAGAATGGACAGTTCCCGGTCGTCGGCGAGCTTCTCCCGGGCGGAGCGGCGTGCCACAGCGGTAAACTCTGCCCGGAGGAACTCCTGCTGGAAGTCAACGACACCCCCGTGGCCGGACTCACCACCAGGGACGTGCACGCCGTGGTCAAGCACAGCAAAGACCCCGTCCGACTCAAGTGTGTCAAACAAGGTGAGCTTTTTTCCAACTTTTTTTTCCCTCCCGAACATTTTTTTTTTTTAGCTTCTTGAAGCTCTTTTGTGTTTTGACAGCACTGCTATTGTCTCCCAAAAAACTGACACTCTCCCCCCCTCCTCCTCCTCCTCGCTCCATGTTTGAAGCCCACCATGTGCAGAAATGTACATTTTTGTAGTTCTTTTATTGTAGTTTCATATCTTGGGCTAGTTCTGGACTGAGCCGTGGGGCTACAGCGGGGTTCTGGACGGGTTTCGGTGCTGCTGCTGCTGTGTTTTGGATGTTCAGGGGGTGTGTTACAGCTGAGGATAAACACACACACATTCCACTTTTTACACATAATTCAAGCGTTTGTTTTTCATGCTGCTGCAGCCTTGAGCAGACATACATGCTTGTTATTCATTTGTGTAGTGTTTATAAACGCCATGCTGCCACCACCACATGCTAATCCTGCATCCTCACACATCTAAACATTGGATCAGATCAGATATTGGATTAGATTAGATTTGCTTTCACTGCCAAAACTCTACAAACTGCAGCACAAAATTACAACCAAACATGCTCTCTTTGCTGTTTCTACATGAAAATTGTTTATTACCAACACATATTTCATCAATTAGTCAATTTACAAACAAAAAAACAACAATAAGACACTAATTCTCTAATTTCAGCTTCTAAATTAATTCAATTTATCTTTATTTATCCCTGAGGGGTAATTTAAAAGCTCACCGATTATTTAATATAAAGACATAAAATATTCATAATAAAATAAAATAAAAACAAAAACATTAGGACTGTTTTTTAAAAAAATTTTTGTTTAAAAAAAAATACACTGAATATTTTTGGATGTTTGACTATTGTTTAGCCAAAAACAATAAGACTTTTATAGCAGGATTTTTTTTTCTTGCGTAGATTTATTTATTTTTTTGTCCACCCTGAACACATTTTTAGAAAAAAAAAACACCAAAAATTACAAATAAAAACTGCGATAAATTTTTTTGCAACCAGTTTTGCTATTTAGTGTTTCAGTTATTCAAGCATAAAAACATTTTTGTTTCGCAGTTGCTTAAATATTACAGGAAAACGCATGAACTTGTGTTAAATAAGGCAACGCATCCTCACTGCATTTACTGTACGCAGAGCGATCACGCCCAAAAGCCCCCATGTGAGCCAGAAAACATCAACCAGTAATGGAGAAAATAATAATAATCAGTGAACAGGATTGTTTTAATGTCTAATCCTGCGATTTAGTTCTACTCAAGTGTAACCTCTGCAGCACTTGAGTTTACTTTCTTTCCCTGAATAGTCTAAAATTGCACCACACTTTCAGTTTAACCTTTGAATCACATATATAACATTTTATTTTTTTATTTATTTTTTTTGCAGAGCAGACATTTAAGCATGCAATATTTATTATCCAATTTGTGCTACATTGAGTGGACTAAATTGGATTTGGAAAGGATATTGTATAAATATTAGAGCAAATCCCCAAGTCCCCTATTTCAACATTATAGCGGTGTCACGGAAAATGAAAAATACCATAAAGTATGATAAGGTCACTGTTAGCTCAATATGCAACAGAAACGGCACGAGTCCCCTCAGGACCATTGCAGAGTGGTTTTTTTTTTCGAGTGGGCAAGTAATGTGGATTGCTTAAGTGAGCGTTGCGGTTGCGCTGGACTGGAGGCACTTGAGGCCGTGATTGTGCCGAGTCGTATTGTGCAGTAGCCAGAACACACACGGTGTTGACTCTCACGTTTGACAAGTCACTTTAAATTGCTCGCACCATCTCCAAACTCCCCTCCATCTCAAGGCTAGTCAGCTTCGTTTCTCTTGTGTTGCACTCCTCTGGCCATCTTTTTTTTTATCCTTGCAGCTAATGACACTCGGGGGTCTCTTGTTGTGTGTCGAAACCAGGATCTGCTGGATCTGGTTTTGGGGTGAAAAATCAGCAAAAAAAACCCTGTAAGAGGCTTTGGATCAAAGTCTTAGGTTGTGAGCGCGCGCGTGCACGTCCAGCATCACATCAAGGATTTATTCAAAAGGCAGCCAAGCCTATATCAAACTAATGTGTTACTTTTTTTTATTTTTCCATGAAATATTTATTTCCTCCAGCGATTGCCGAAGTGATTGATATTCTCCCCCCCAACTCTGCTCGTGTTTGCGCGATCGCTTGTTTACAGTGTCAAGTTGTTTTTAATATGATTGATATGTACATTAAGTAAACATTATGGAGGAAAAACATACTGTTTTTTTTTTTTTTGCATCGCCCTTGCAGCTGTGTGTTCAATAATAGATATTTTTCACTACAGCGGAGGCGTATTAGCTCCTGTAATCCGTCTCAATAGAGTCCTCATTGAGGAGAGACTCAAAGAGAGCGCAGTTCAGTCCACTTGTTCTGATGCTAATATGAGTGTGTAATTAAGAAATCTGTCTTTATAGGAAGTTGTTTATGGCTTAGTTTAATTTTCTTATTTACCTCCGAGACGGTTTTCCTGCGTGCTCTGGAGTCAGAGAAATATTTGAAGAACTTTACTTCATGACCTGAAATGATACTGAATATACAGTAGATGTAGAAACGCACAACATTCCTGTAAGCCTGACAAACAGACATAGTGCAGCAGGAAGCCTTCTAGGGGTTGATGCATATATTGGAATTATTAGTAATCAGGGACACAGATGACTGATTTTTGGAATTGATATGCATTAAATTGACAATCGTGGTGTCAAAATGTAGAAAACCATCTTTGTTGAAAGATATTTATGTTCTACGTATGTTTAATTAAAGGTTCCAGATGGTAAAAATCCATCTTATTGTGTTCTGTATGTCTTAAAATCTTTGAGGTATAAAATAAAAGCTGTATTTACAATATGTGTATGAATATTGCTGTTTCTCAGATCTCCCCTAAAGTCTTCGAATTTTAAAAATCAGTAAGATTTTCATTCAGTTCTATGGAGAAACTAAGGAACCAACAGTCATTAAGCCAAAAGTCTGCATAATCCAGCCCCCTCACTGCCCACTGCTTCCAAATGAACCGTTCAGAAACCACCGGGGTTATTTGCTTTCTACAGCTGCTTCTGCTAACTCTACAATGTCTCAGCCTCGAGCAAAACACACCAAAAGTTCTACTGTTGGCTGCAAGAGTGAACACAAGAGTCTCCATGCACTCCCAGCATCTGAGGAACTGAAGATCTTGTGCATTATGTATGTTTTTGATATCTCGCTAACCCACTTATCTCGCTTCATTCACAGCCCTCAGGAGAGACAAGTGGGTTGAGTGGGTTAGCGAGGTATGTTGAGCCTAAAGTCAGAGTTTTTAGTATCATGGAAGCAGGTTTTGTTCAGAATTTTGGATTCAAACCGGCCAGAAGAAGCGTCTCCCTTTAACCAAATCATTTTCTGACGATTCTCTTTGAGCGATACAGATTCTCAGCTGAGGGAATGCATTTTATCTGCAAACATGCTACTATCACTGAATGAAGCTGTATAGTTACAGTGTCGCACACTGTATATATCACGTTGCCATGGGAACCAGACGTCTATTTAGTTGGTGCTGCAGAAATCATATAAATATGTTTTTATGTTTGGCTCTTTTATGTTTCGTCTCTGATTCGTTCGCTGTGCTGGAACCGGGATATCAATTTTGATCTCTGATGGCGGATACAGTCCTGTGACGCTGATGGTGAAAACACCCGCTCACTCCTCCCCTGGCAGAACAAATACTCTCCCGCCACCCCCTCCCAACTATTCAGGATATTCGTCATTAATTGGGCCGAATATCCGGAGAACAGAACATGCTATTCGGACCAGCCCTAGTTGACTGAAGCAGCTGAACGTGATCGTTTCTTTTTTTGCAGAAAAGTCACATGACGTGTTAAACGCCACCTTTTTTCTGAATGCACTCGAAGTCTGAAGCAGAAAGCCCGAGTTAAGAGATGATCACAGACTGGGGTTTTAGTTTTTGTCGAGCCGACTCACACAAAGAAAGCCTGGCTATGTCTAACCTGCTTCCTAGTACACTCCTCTGCTCTCTGTTCAAACACACAACATTTTAGTACAGATGAATTCTCTTGTATTTACATTCCTGCCTCTTTCTGTTGTCAGAAAACAGAATGAGTTTGAAATAGCTGCTTATTAAGACTTCATCTCAGCAGCAGTCATTTTCAAGCTGTGGATCTGCAAAGCTAAACTGTTCATTTGTCAACCTCAACTCGTTGTTCTGATAGACTCACTCAAACACACGAGTTAAGAACGGTGGTAGCGCAGTAAGCTCTGTGATGTTTCCATGTCAAATCGGCACTCAGAAAGTTGAAAAAAACGATTAGAAGCATGTCTGCGTTGGCTGCCGTGTGGTCGACTGATTTGCTGTCAGTCACAGAGACAGTCTTCAGCAGCTCGATTTGACACTAGAGGAGCTGATACCGTTTAGACCAGGGGTTAAACAGTCATGGAAGCATTTTGAGCTGTAAAAAGACACATTCTCAGGAGATCCTTTTATTAATTTGATGAAAAGGGGCACAATGTGGAACCTTTAAAAGAGAAGTTTTCAACATGTACTCTTCAGTTTTGTTGCTTCTGGTGTTTAGCCAATCAGATAGTGCAGTGGGCGGGACATTATTCTGAACCACAGGAAGCTGCATCAGAACCAAAGTAGCACATTTTTTCATTAATTAGCTTTACGGATAATTGCGTTTAAAAGACATAATTGCAGAAATGCCAAAAATTAGGCAGATGGATGATTAGGCCAACAATCGGTCAAACTTTTGTGCCTTCATATAGCAGGAGGGTCTGATCTTCAGATTGTAATATATTGTACAACAAGGTAACATGCTGAACAGTGAGTCATTGTGTGTTTAGCTGCTGTTGTCCCACATGTTTGCCACGATTGTACGACACATGGAACTTTCACTCAAACTGTATTCTGCGCTTTCACATTTTTACTTTCAGCGTTTTACTGTTTGGATGTAACCCAAAGGAACAAAATGCGTCCAAATGA